TGAGATGGATTGATTCGGTGACTGGGGTAATCGGGATGGGTGTGTCGGAAGCAGTGTGGTTGGTGCAGGATAGAGCAGTGTTTAGGGCTGTTGTGCATAGGGTCGCCATGAGTTGCAAACGACTCGAGGGCACATAACAACAAACAACAACATTCTTTCCGAATTCCAAGTATTCCATTTATCTCTGAGACTATTGTTGTTGCTGTTGATTACCTTAGAATTGAGCACGACTCATAGTGTCCCCATGAACAAAAGACCTGAAGCCTTTCTATAACTATCATCATTTATCAAAGTTCATAGGGTTTCCAAAGGCATGTTGTTTAGGAAGTGGATGCCACTCCTGCTTATCCAGGCATAAACTCTCCTCTATTTTCCTTTCCTTCATAATTTACTCTGGTACAATATGTGAAATCTCTGGTCTTAAAGTACGAAAACCTTAGATAATACGCAAAAATACATACTTTCTGAGATGTTGACATTGATGATTGATTCAAGGAAATTGTCACTTAAATTTTACTGTCAAATGCTAATAGACTTCTGAAATCTTGATAACTATTTTTACTTCCCACCCCACATCGGACTCCTTGGTGTTAACAAATGCATATTTTTTATTTTTATTGGGATTTTATGGTACATGCTCATGTTTAATTCTTAAATTTGGAACTGTATGACAATTATATCTTTCTCTGATAACAAATGGAAATTCATTGTCTTGATCACATTATTTAAACAGTTCTTCTTAATAAAAATTTGGATATATCCATTGTTTATTATCCTCTGAAGTATTCTAGAATAAAATGTAACAGGAAAAAAAAATGACTTCACCTTAATACGAACTTCACTGCTCTTCGGGGGTGCAACCTCCACTTCCTCAATAGAAATGGGTTTATTTAACTCCCAAAGAACAGCTGCTTTGCATTTTATGACCTGGAAAATAAAATAGAATTTTATCTACTCTTGCTGTCCATGATGTATCTCTTCATTTAGTAAATGCAACATCTTGAAGGAAACAGTAAAAAATAAGGCCCCAGGAATAGATGGTATACCAATTGACATATTTGAGCTAACAGATGCTGCCCTGTACATGCTAACCAGGTTGTGCCTAGAAATCTGGAGATCAACCACTTGACCAACTGACTGGAAGAGATCTATATTTTTTTCCCATCCCAAAGAAGGGTAACCAAACAGAGTGTGGAAACTGTAGAACAATCTCTTTGATTTCACATGCAAGCAAGATTCTACTGAAGATTATCCAAAAACGACTGGAACAGCATATCAGCAGAGAACTGCTGGAAGTACAGGCTGGGTTTAGAAGAGGTCGTGGTCCTAGGGATATTGTAGCTAATCTTAGATGACTCTTGACCGAAAGCAGGGAATATCAGAGGAATGTCTATCTTTGTTTCATTGATTATGCAAAGGCGTTTGACTGTGTGGATCATAAGAAACTGTGGCTGACTCTGAGAAAAATGAGAATACCAGAACCCTTGATGGTGCTAATGCGAAACCTATACTTGGACCAAGAGGCAGTCATCAGAATGGAGCAAGGAAACACTACCTGGTTCAAAATGGGAAGGGCGTACACCAGGGATGTGTCCTGTCTCCATACCTTTTCAACCTCTATGCAGAACAGATTATCTGGGAGGCTGGGCTCTATGAGAAGAAATGTGGGGTCAGGATTGGTGGAATATCTATCGAAAATCTGCATTACGCAGATGACACAACCCTGTTTACTGAAACTGAGGAGGACCTGAAGCACTTGCTGCAGAGGGTCAAGGAGTGCAGCTGTCAATATGGATTGAGGCTCAATGTCAAGAAGGCAAAGATTCTCACCACTGGACCAATTGGCAGCATCAGGATGGGTGGTGAAGAGATTGAGATCATTCACAGCTTTAGTTTGTTTGGCTCCACAGTCAACACTCTTGACACCAGCAGCCAGGAAATTAAAAGACGTATTGCAATGGGAAAGTATGCTGTTAGGGACCTTTCCAAAGTTGTGAAGAGCAATGGTGTTTCCCTGGAGACCAAGGTACATCTGATATAGGCCATGGTTTTTGTAATCAGAGAGTTATGCATCAGAGAGTAGGACAGTGACTAAAGAGGATAGGAGGAGAGTTGATGCCTTTGAGCTGTGGTGCTGGAGAAGAGTGTTGAGAATACCATGGACTGCTAGGAAAACGAACAGTTTCATCCTGGAGAGATTTAAACTGGGCAGCTCCCTGGAGGCAAGGATTCTGAGGCTCCATCTAACACACTTTGGACATGTTGTAAGGAGGGACCTGTCCTTTGAGAGAGACATCATGCTTGGGGGGGTGGAGGGACTTAGCAGGAGGGGAAGGCCCTCTATGAGGTGAATTGATTCAGTGACTGGGGCAATCAGGATGGGTGTAATGGAGACAGTGCCAATGGCACAGGACAGAGCAGAGTTTAGGACTGTTGTACATAAGGTCACTATGAGTCGCAAGCGACTTGACAGCACATAACAACAACCATCACCTAATGTCAGGTATAAAAACTATTCCTTAGAAAGGAGCATCTCTACTATCAATGACTTTAAAAAAAATTTGTTCTATTAATTATAATGAACATTTACAGAGATTTTGGATTTCCATTCATTCTTTGTTGTATTTTCCTCCCTCCCCACCCCTACCCCTCAGTTCGCTCTTCTCTTTGAAAAGTAAAAGAAAACTTCCTTCATTGGTATGCAATTCCCCCACTCCCACACCCCAGTACATTCCACTATGCAACTTTCATTCTGGACTCTTGTCATAAGCATAACACCCAATCATATATAGTTTTTAAACTGTTCTCTCCCTCATCTGTTTCAATGCAGTATATATAATTTATCCAATTTATCTCAGTCTCACCCCAACCCTGATGACAGTCCTGTTCTACAACAGTGATACTATACAGTATTTGTCCTTTTGTGACCGAGATATTTCACTAAGCATAATATCCTTCAGGGTCACCCACTTTGAATAATATTGCATGAGTTTCTTGTTTTTCAATGCAGCATAGTATTCTATTGTGTGAATATACCAGAGCTTCTCTATCCATTCGTTTGTTGATGTGCACTTAGGTTGTTTCCAACTCTTTGCTATTGTGAACAAAGCTGCAATAAACATGGAGGTACATATATCCTCCTGGGTGGCGGTTATGGTTTCTTTAGGGTATATTCCCAGTAGAAGAATTGCTGGATCAAATGGTATTTCTTTTTGCAACTTTTTGAGAAAGTACCATACAGCCTTCCATAGTGGTTGCACCATTTTACACTCCCACCAACAGTGAATAAGGATTCCAGTTTCTCCGCAACCTCTCCAGCATTTATTGTTTGCTGCTCTGTTAAATTTTGCTATTCTTACTGGAGTGAGATGATATCTCATAGTTGTTTTAATTTGAATCTCTTTAAGAGCTAGAGATTTTGAGCATTTCTTCATGTATTTGTTGGCCATCTGGATGTCTTCTTTGGTGAAGTGTCCATATCCTGTGCCCATTTTCCAATTGGATTATTTACCTTTATCTTGTTGTGGTGCTCAAGTATTTTATAAATTCTAGATATATGTCCCTTATCTGACATGTGATTACCAAATATTTTTTTCCCAATCTTTGGCTTTCTTTTTTTCTCTGTTGGAGACGTTATTAGATGTGCTTAGGGATTTGATTCTTAGAAGGTCAATTCATCTATTTTATCCTCTACTGGTTGTAGATTTTTCAGGATGCTTGGAAGACTGTTTATGTTGTAGATTAGGACTTTGTGAATTCTTACAAGCTTTTCTTTAATGAAATGTATAGTCATTGGTTTTAGTTCTAGGTCCATGATCCATTTTGTGTTGGTTTTTGTATACCGAGTGAGGTGTGGATCTTGCTTGAGTTTTCTACAGGTAGTTTTCCAATTTTATCAGCACCATTTGTTAAAATGTTGTCATTTCCTCACTAAACTGATTGCATCTCTTTGTAAAAAATCAATTGACTATAGGTAAATGGGCTGATTTCTGGATTTTGTATTCTTTTCCATTGATTTATGTGTCTGTCGTTAACAGTCTTGACCACCATGGCAGTGTAGTAGGATTTGAAATCAAAGAGTGAAATGCCTATTACCTTGTTTCTCTTTTTAGGAGTTCTTTGCTTATTCAGGGCCTCTTTCCATTCCAAATGAAACTGGAAATTGCCTTTTCCATCTCATTGAAGAATGGAATTGGTATTTGAATTTGGTATTTGGTATTGCATTGAATGTGTAAATTGTCTTTGATAGTTTTTGTCATTTTCTCAATATTGAGTCTTCCTATCCATGAATAAGGGATACTCTGCCACTTCTCAAGGTCTCTTTTTGTTTCTTGTAGTAATGTTTTATAATTTTCTCTGAATGGATCCTTGTGTTTCTGGTTAGATTTACTCCCAGGTATTTTTATCTTGTGATTAGCAATTGTGAAAGGTATTGTTTTTCTAAGCTCCATTTCTGTTTTCTCCTTGTCACTGTGGAGAAACCCAATTGATTTTTGTATGTTGATCTTGTATCCTGCCACTTTGCTGAATTGGTCAACTATGTCCAGTAGTTTCCTTGCTGAGTCATTAGGGTTTTCTAAGTATACTATTATATCATCTGTGAACAGAGATAATTTTACCACCTCTTTGCCAATTTGCATACCTCTTATTTCCTTATCTTGTCTTATTGCTATTGCTAAGACTTCTAATACAATATTGAATAGGAGAGGTGATAGTGGGCATATCAATGACTTTTTAAAAAAATGTGTTAAATGTAAGAGAAACTGACATAACCAAAATAATATATTGAAATGGTTGTGTTATTTTAGAGTATATCTATGCTATTTTTCTTCCTTTAAGAATATTTGTGAAGGAGAAGACACAAATAATTAGGCAACATCACAATAGATCCAACTAAAATAAAAAAGCTAACATTAGCGTATTATGAAAAACTATACTCAAACAAATATGAAAACCTAGAGGAAATGGAAAAATACTTAGCAGTGCACAACCTACCTAAACTGACACAAACCGAAATTGAACATCTGAACAGATCCGTTACAAAAAAAGAAATTGAAAAGGTAATACAGTAACTTCCAACCAAAAAAACCCCTTGACCAAATGGTTTTACAAGTGAATTTTATCAAACATTCAGAGAAGAACTGTTACCAATTCTACATAAATTATTTCAGAAAATAGAAGATGGAATTCTTCCAGACTCATTCTATGAAGCAAACATATCCTTGATACCAAAGCCAGGAAAGGACACCACCAAAATAGAAAACATAGACACAAAAATCCTGAATAAAATACTGGCCAATAGAATCCATCAAAGAAATAATTCACCATGACCACGTGGGATTCATAACAGGTATGCAAGGATGGTTCAACATAAAGAAAATAATTAATGTAATTCATCACATTAACAAAGAAGGACAAGAACCATATGATTCTATCAATTGATGCAGAAAAGGCCTTTGACAAAATCCAAAACCCTTTCCTGATTAAAACCCTCAACAAAATAGGATTAGAGGGGAACTTCTTCAACATAGTAAAAAGTATATATGAAAACCTGAGATCCAACATTGTTCTCAATGGAGAGAGCTTAAAGGCATTCCCTTTAAGAATAGGAACTAGGCAAAGATGCACACTATCACTTCTCTTATTCAATATTGTTTTGGAAGTCTTAGCAATAGCAATAAGGCAAGAGAAGGGAATAAAAGGTATCAAAATTGGCAAAGAGGAGGTAAAATTGTCTCTCTCTCCAGTTGATATGGTAGTATACCTAAAAAACCCTAAAGACTAAGCAAGAAAACTATTGGACACAGTGAACCAATTTAGCAAAGTGGCAGGATACAAGATCAACATACAAAAATCAGTTGGATTTCTCTACAGTGACAAAGAGAATACAGAGCTGGAGCTAAGAAAAGCAATATCCTTCACAATAG